TCCTTTATGCTATCATGTTTCTAATAATGTAGATATAATTTAAAATACTGATGTACGAGAAATAAAGATAAATGAAAAAAAATTGTCAGAGAAGTGAATAATAAATTTTAAGTCAATACAGGGTATAAGTTTTTAAGTGTAATCTGGAAAATAAAATTTAGACTTATTTATTACAAAATGTATAATGCTGTATTATATACAAAATATATGTAAAAAAAATTAGATTATAATATACAAATACCTAACTACAATTATTCTTATCACAATCTCTCGTTGATAAGTTATTTTTTTAAAACCAATTCATTCACCTGATGCTATTGATTGAGCAGCATTAACTAAAGTGTCATGAACTTCGCGGGCATATGCAACCTGAGCTCTTACAGTCATCAAGAATTGAGGATATGTTAAAGCAGGTCCTTCTTGAGCTCCAACAGTGTCTGTACGTGTTGGTATGACAGATACTGGGAAATACCTTAGAGAACTAGAATTTTGAGATAAGCATTCTATAGAAGTCTTTAAATGCAATTCTATTTGGTCGCAGATTGAATAAAACTCTTCCATGTTCTTATTAAATCTATGATCAGGCTGATCTATACTCTTCAAAGATCCAACATCTACCAAACTGTTTTGGTGCAATGTTTGTGCTGCAGTTTTAAGAGCTATAGCCAATGATTCTCTTAATGGGCCGATCAGTGACTTCACTTTGGAGATATTGTCAAGCTTCTCTTGAGTCTGTTGCTGCTGCTGCTGCTGCTGTTGCTGAACTTGTGGTTGCTGTGGCTGCTGTGGATTTTGAGCCATTTGAGGATTTACAGGCTGTGTCATCTGGCCTACACCAATTGCTCCCGGTTGTTGTATTGCAGGAATGTTCATGGTGATCTTGTTAACATAAGAATTTAAAATAGTCAGCGTATTATGCATAAAAATCATTTCTATTGATGCACGTAACTTAAAAACTTACTACAGCGCGATGTGTTGCAGAACTTTGGTTAGAAAGTCACTGACACACTGACACACACAATCGCTAGGAATCTGAAGTTAGTTCCTTATGCCATCTCTGCCACAGAATTACTGGCCCTCTATATCATGACAAAACAATGGAATATACCGGTTAACGCACTCACGTCTTAATTTGAATCTGTCGTTCATTTGTTTACTGTCGTAAAAACAGCGAAACCAATATTTATAGCAGAGCTATATAGATTTAGTTGAGTTTGATTGAGTTCAACATGTATATAAAGTCGATGGTATTAGAAGGATTCAAATCCTATGGGAAAAGAATTGAAATAACCGGTTTCGACAAAGAATTTAATGCGATCACAGGATTTAACGGTAGCGGAAAATCAAATATCCTGGATGCAATATGTTTCGTTCTGGGCATCTCGAATCTTGGACAAGTATTACGCTATTTTTTGTATTTCCTTATTGTAATTACGTTTTAAGTGTAACTATAATGTGCTTTCATTCTTTAGTACAATCATGTTTTAATTGAAATCATTGTAATAAAAACATTATGACAACGACAATTTATAACTTGTTGACATGTAATCTTATTTGTGTATTACATTTTGTCATAGATAACAGTTTATATTATAACAGGTATTTTTTATGTTTATCATAGGTACGTGCAGCTTCACTTCAAGATTTAGTTTACAAATCTGGCCAAGCAGGTATAAAAAAAGCTAGTGTTACTATAACTTTTGACAATAGGGATAGGAATGTATCCCCACTGGGATATGAACATTATGAGGAGATAACAGTTACCAGACAAGTTATAATCGGTGGTAAAAACAAATATTTGATCAATGGATCTAATGTGCCCAATAAACGTGTCCAGGACATGTTCTGTTCTGTCCAACTGAATGTAAATAATCCACATTTCTTGATAATGCAAGGCAGAATCACAAAAGTCTTGAACATGAAGCCTGCAGAAATTCTGTCTATGATAGAAGAAGCAGCAGGCACTCGAATGTACGAGAATAAGAAAGAAGCCGCTTTGAAAACTATAGAGAAGAAGGACAATAAATTGAAAGAGATAAATACTGTATGGTTCAACATTATTCCTTATTCAGTTTGTACATTTAAGGTTCATTATTATGCTTCTTATTTTAGATTTTAAAAGAAGAACTTGGCCCAAAATTAGCCAAGCTTAAAGAAGAAAAAACACAATACGTTGAATTCCAACGTGTAGAAAGAGAATTAGAACATTGTAGAAGAATCTGTTTGGCATGGAAATACGTCACAGCTTTAAGTGAAAGCGAAACGGCAGAGGAGAACGTTCAAGCTATTAAGGATAAAATAAAAGAGAAAACAGATTACATTAGTACTGGTGAAGAGGAGCTTAAAAATATAGATAAAGAACTGGATGAAGTAGCTAGAAAAAGAGATGCAGTATGTATTTTAATTAATGAAATGTATTTGTACATTTTTCTATACCTCAAGCAACTTATTTTTTCAGGAAGCTGGAGGCCAATTAGAATCGTTGGATAAGGAATTAAAAGAGTTTGAGAAGCGGCAATGTAAATTAGCTGCCGAAGCTAATAGTAGTAAAGAAAGTATCAAGGCTGCTCAAAAAGCAATTGACCAATTAAGAGCTAATATAGTCGATGACGAGAATGCGTTTACGTTAAAACAAAAGGAATATTCTAAAGTCGAAGGTCTTTTTAAGAATTTAAAGAATATGGATGAACAGGATCGTGAAGCCGTGTTACGTGCACAAGAAAACTATCAGAAAGTTAGTGCTGGACTATTGGCAAACCAAGACGGTGAAAACGCAACATTAGAACAGCAATTAATAAGTGCCAAACAGAACGTGACAGAAGCACAGACGCAGCGTAAACAGTGCGAAATGTCACTGCAGCATAATAGAGAGCAGTTGAAAAGGAAGCAAGTGGAAGTTAAGAATACTGGAGATGAATATAAGAAATACACTGTGGATCTGGAAACTAAAGAGAGAGAAGTGAGTAACTTAGAAAAGAAATTGAGGAAATTAAATTATGAAGATGGACACATAGAGCGTCTTGGGGAACAGAGAAATGCATTAAGGCGTGAAATAATGATATTGGAAGAAGAACTGGCTCAGCTTGAGTCGAGATATCCTCAAGTCAGATTTGATTATAAAAAGCCTGACCCCAGTTTTAATCCAAATTCTGTGAAAGGAGTGGTGTGCAAATTAATTACTGTAAGAGATAGAAGAGCAGCATACGCTTTAGACATCGCTGCAGGTGCAAAGGTATTTAATTATTTTTTGTACTACAACAGTGAATAGAATTTTATGTAAACAAATGTATAATTTCTTAAAATTTCAGTTGTATAATGTGATAGTAGATTCAGAAACGAACAGTAAAAAGATACTTCAACATGGTCAACTGCAAAGACGCGTTACTATAATTCCCTTAAATAAAGTGAATGGAAGGCCCATGGATAATCACATAATTCAATTGGCACAGAAAATAGGTGGTGGTAGTGAAAATGTTCAGCCAGCACTGTCTTTGATAGACTTCCCAGCTGAAACTAGATCCGCTATGACGTGGATTTTTGGACAGATCTTTATCTGTAAAGACATGGATGTTGCTAAGAAGATAGCATTTCATCAGAACATAATGAGAAAGTGTGTAACTTTAGAAGGCGATGTTGTTGACCCTAGTGGTATTTTATCTGGTGGTGCAGCGTCAAAAAGTGGATCAATTCTCTTAAAGTTGGACGAATTGAAAGCTTCTTATACCGCACTCAATGAAAAACAACAGGCTCTTCAAAACATCGAAACTAGTTTACAAAAAGTGAACAATGTGGCCGAAGAGTACAATTCTTTAAAACAAACATTGGATTTGCGGAATCATGAAATCAGTATGGTGAAACAGAAATTGCAACAAACGGAGTATTATAAAGTGCAAGAAGAGGTACGTAAAATAAATATATCTTCAAGAGTATGAGATGTAAAATATGATTACTTTGTATAGATTGAGTCTTTGGAGAAAAGTATCAAAGAACTTTTGGAAAAAATAAATGCTACACAAAAAACTGAAACGGAGAGCATTAAACGTGCAAAGGACTTGGAACATCAATTGAAAGATGCTTCTAACATTCGACAAAAACAATTGAAGAAAGCTGAAACTGAGTTAGAAACGTTAAAGAAAAAAGCTGAGAATAGTCGTAAAGAGTGGCAAAAACGGGAACAGGAAGCAGAAACACTTGAACTGGAAATAAAGGAATTACAAAAAAGTATAGAAGCTGAAAAAGAGGAATTGGCAGAGTCCGAAGAAAAGTTGAAAGCACTACAAGAAGGATCAAATGAAATAGAAGAAAAATTAAACGAAGCGAAGGATAATGTAAAACAGAAGCAGTCTCAGATAAAAGAACAGAAGGACATTATTAACAAGCAGAATACTCATATGCAGAAGTTAATCGTAAAAAAAGAAGATATTATAAAGAATAGCAAAGAGGCAGAACTAGAAATTAAAAAATTAAATCATGAAATTAATTCCATTCGTAATCTAGCTCACGATTACAAAAATGAAGTTTCTAAACTTACGAGGGAACATGAGTGGATTGAACAGGATAAGATGTATTTCGGGAAAGCAGGTAATTTTTATATATTAAATTTATTTTCTTTTTTAAAGTTTTCACTTTGTAGGTGGTATGTACGATTTCAATGTTAACAAACCTAATGAAATGGAACAAAAACTACAAATGCTACAATCGATGCGCAAAAAGTTAAGTCGGACTATTAATACGCGCGCTATCAGTCTTCTCGATAAAGAAGAAGAGCAATACAATGACATGATTAAGAAAAGAAAGATCGTTGAGAACGACAAATCGAAAATATTAGAAACGATTAAACATTTAGATCAAAAGAAAAAAGAGACATTATTAAAAGCTTGGGAACAGGTAACATTGCATTTGTCGGTTAATTGGAAATATTTTTGTGTATTGTGTACCAATGGTTGTATTATTTTTCAGGTAAACAAAGATTTCGGATCAATTTTCAGTAGCTTATTGCCAGGAACAAATGCGAAATTACAACCTCCTGCGAATCAGTCAGTCACTGATGGTTTAGAAGTAAAAGTAGCGTTTGCTGGAATTTGGACAGAATCATTAGGCGAATTATCGGGAGGACAAAGATCATTGGTTGCTTTATCCTTAATCCTGGCCATGCTTTTGTTTAAGCCTGCACCACTTTATATTTTGGACGAGGTCGACGCTGCGTTAGATCTTTCTCACACGGAAAATATTGGAATAATGTTAAAAAGACATTTCAAACATTCGCAGTTTATTGTTGTATCATTAAAGGATGGAATGTTCAACAACGCTAATGTAATATTTACAACTAGATTTGTTGATGGAATGTCAACAGTATCTAAGAGTGAAAAAAGAAAGTTGGCTCAGGCTAGCTAACTTAATCAACATAGAAAGCTATTTTTGTAACTAAATAAGGATTTTTTTATCTACGATAAGTAATTCCATTTTGTTTCATAAATATGTTTTAAATAATACTTCTGTACAGTAGTAGAATAGTTTTTTTTTATATAAATTACATTTCAAATTTTCATATAATACTCTCATGATTAAAAAAATTCTGAATCCTGGATTCCTAAAAAACTTTATAACAAAAATTAAAGTAATTTTGTACATTCAACTTTGCAAATACAACACATGTATAAAACACAACGAACTTAATCTACTAATGACTGAAGTATTAAACTTCTCTTTTAAGTACATAAATATTTTATAAAATTCAAATAAACTTGACTTAGAGAAAAAATTATGCACATAATCAGAGGAATCCATTACTCTCAAAATTTTTTTTAACATCGTCATACGAATAGATTTAAGAGCAATGCGTTCTTGCTCTTAGAGTGTATTTACTAAACTTGACCAATTGATATCTATAAAGAATGGATGTTGTTTTATCTCTGGTATTGTCATTCTATCATTTGGATTGTACTTTAGTACCTGCAAAATTCAATAATTAAACATTCTGTGCTATAATTTAAACATACATACACATTACGTGGAGACACAGTACATAAACTTACGTTTAAAAGCAAAGATTTTGCATTGTCTGACAGTTTGCTAGGAATGTTGATTATGGAATGCGATTGAAACGTGCCCGAATGTTTTGCTTCAAATTTCTGAAATGGAAGATAATTATATATTATTATTTTGTAATCTTATTGTCTTCGGAATATTTTATTTTATTTTTACATACATTCCCTACTATTAATTCGTACAATATAACGCCGAAACTCCAAATATCTGCTGCTGGACTGAGCGAGATCATAGGTGAGAACGTGCACAATTCAGGAGCCGAATATGGATGTTTGTATTTTAATAAATCTATGTCGTGGCCAGGTATAACATACGTTAAGTATACGTGGCCATTATCATCAAGTAACAGATTATCGGGTTTCAAATCGAAGACTATGACTTCCTGTTGATGTAATGCTTCTAATGCTAAAAGAATTTCAGCTGCCCAAAGACGAATCACGTCCTCCGGTATTATCCATAATTCTTGTTCATCATCGATATTGCTATTTTTCGTCGATTCGGTTAAGAGATCATTTGATATGCGACAATTATCCATTCTATTTACTTCATATCCATTTGAAAAAAGATCCTCTTTATTACTAGTTTTATGTTCTGTCTCAAAATGTGTGTTAGCTGGTTTTATACTGTCTGTTGAAGAACTTGTTGATTCTTTTCCTTGAGAATTTAAATTTTTGTAACTGCTGTTTAAAGATGAATTCCTACTACTGTATTGACTCCTTGTGATTGCCATGTTATCCGGAGATAGATACGCAGATATTTCATTTTTTACAGGTTTACTTACATTGTCGATTTCTAATGATATATCATTAATATCTACCGACACATTGTTACAAGTTTTAGGCTGGTGCACGCTGTTCTTAAAATTCAATAACGATGTGTCTTGATTTATTAAGTGGTCGGCTTCGCGTAATCGATTAGTAACAGAATTACTTTCCCTTAAAGTCGCGTTAACCGATTGTAATAGTATTTGTGCCTTCTCTAATAATTGTGTAGTAGATACATCGGTATATTTCTCTTCTCCCATTATTGGATCTATCTCCATTTGTACTTTAATATTTGTACTCACATTTTCCTGTAGCTTAGTGGCCAAAATGTCGTTCTTAATATCGCATTCATTTAAAAGTATATCACTATCATTTGTTGATCTCTCAATAACACTTTTTGTAATTATTTTACCACAATTCTTATTATTCGCGGGATTGTAACGCGATGCTATAAAATCCCACAATCTTCCACGACTAGAATACAATTTAATTAATTAATACCATGGAATAATAATATGTATTGCTCTTAATACATACCTCAAATGTTCTAGAATTAAAAATACGCTTGTTTCTGTTTCAATGCATGCATGTAAATGGACCATGTATGGTATTTCTCCGCGTAATATGTAGTTACTTATACTTTCTTTATGTGATGATAATTTTTCTTTGACCTACGTTTCCGAAGATCATATTTAACAAAACAATCATTATTTGGTTTATATTATATTGTGCATGCTAAACTACGTAACTTTTAAATTGTACATACCTTTACAATATTGAGGCAATTTTTACGAACGTCTTTTACAAGCATAACTGAGTTTATAATTTTCAGCACTTTATAATATTGAAGCTCTGAAATAGGTTTACTCAGCAACGAAACATTACAATTTAAATATCTGTTATAAAGCTTCTCAGCACGGTCTAAATATTTAGATATCTTTTCCTTAATTATCTCAGCTCTTAATTTATTTGAATCAGATTCAACACCAGATCTTAGACTAGAGATTCCCATTTTATACTGAGTGAATGCTTCCTCGTACTCAGTCTGATCTTCATGTTTAAAAGCTGCACTCATATGCGCAGCTGCGATTAAAATGTATTGAGATGACTCTGGACACGATTGCGGTAGATCGGAACCATCGTGAGTACTCATCGAACAATTTCCATTTCCAATAATACTATCAGCGTTTAATGTTTGTACAATTGTAGGATCTTTCTCATTCGCAGCATTATAATTCTCATTTTTATAGCAATTGTTATTCTTATTACAAATTAATTCATTGTCCTCTAGCTTAGATGTAATTTTACTAGAATCATTGTTCTTTATCAATAGATTATTATACGTACTTTTTGTCATGGATATCTCTTGATTCTCATTTTTGTACCTAAGGCCAATTTGTTGTAAATTTTGCTCCTTAGCTTTGGATGTCTCTTGCCATTGATTTATTTCATTTTTCGAAACTGACACATTTGTTAACGAACTTTGAATACTTCTAGGTTGCAGTATATTCTGAGATGCGACATCAGTGTTAGGCAGAGAATTTATATAAGTATGACGATCTTCCTCTGCCGATGTATCAGAGCTAAGAGACTGAGAGCAGTCAGTCAGATAATCCCCGTGACTAGTTTCAAAGAATTTTATAAAAATATCACTTGAGTACAAGTACGAATGTCTTCCTATGAATTCAAGAAGCTGTAATGCACATTCCCTTCTTTCTTCTATAACTTCTGCCTCGAACCTGCCAAAAAATTTTGGCTTTGGAAACTTTGGGAAACATTCTTTACTCTTGGACTGAGAATACAGAGCATTTAATTCAGAATGGAGTTTTTTAAAGTCATTATAGCGTTTCCATACAGACACTTTAGAAATTTCTTCATGTGAGCTCTTTAAAAATACCTGAAAAGAAAAGAATGCTTATAGATTACGTCCATTTAATATAAATTTTGTTATTGAACGATTTAATTAGAGGGAAAATGCAAATAAAGTTCGAATAATTGCATTGATTGTTTTATATCATACCACAGATGTGACTTTGTAAATAGTAAAGCCTTTCTTATGCCGTGTCGTTTCTGGAATAATGAAACGCCTCATCCACTTGTCTTTGCTGGGTGCCATCGTTTGTACATACATACACTAGAACTGTAAAACCAGAAGCTCGATAAATTGATTACTCTATCGCTTTAATTTGCGTACTTCTGTCATCGTTAGTTCCGTGTATCTGGCTTTTTTCTTCGTTTACGAGGCATGTATATCGCTGCTGATTATGTTCCCAATTATCGTCATTCGTACCCGTTTGCATTTGTGGATGGTTTAAATGTTGCGATACGATTGTTTACCACAAACGTGTATTTTTATTATACCCGTGTACATCAAGTCATGATGGTTGAAATAGCTAATCGTACGTTCTTTCCTAGTTGAAGTAAACTCGGACAAGCATTAATAATTCGAACACGATTCTTAGAGACACTCTTATGATTTCATGTCATGCTATCTCGTTTCACTATTTTTACATTTTAATTAGAGAACGAGGAATAATTATACCCTTTCCATTCTTTCTTGCTCGTCACTTAAGCTGACTTGAGCGATACTGCGCATGGTTGGCCACGATCCACGATGACTACACCTACGAATTTATGTATCACTGGTATCATGTATTTACACATAAGACATGTGTGACTGTCAATGTATTAGGCATGGTGTTGATACTTTATGCAACTCTACAAAATGCAAATGCTCGAGTAAATACTCTTTAATCAATTTGCGAATAACTGTGCAACGAATGAAGGATCCATGATTTCATTTGAAACTCTTTGGAGATTAGAATTTTTGATAGTTGACTGCAGTGGTAACTTATCATATGCACGTAAGTTATCACTTACGGACGTGGCTTATAGATCGCGCCACTATCACCGTCATTTACGGGCATGCTAATAACTGCTAATAACTTCATAGGAGAAACAGTGATGGCGAATATAAAACTGCGGAGAACGATTTCGGACAGATATGGTTTAATTTTGTGTTAGTCGGTTTGAACAATTGTGCTGTTAATGACTGAGAGTGCAACGAATGTTCCCCTTTCATTAGTCTTTACGTAAGTATAAAAATATTTGTTTGTCAGTAAAATTTGAAACCATCACATCGTATACTTATAAGAATCCACAGTGAAAGAAACGAGTATATTGAATGTTAAAAAATGAGTTATTGTAGACATAGAAATCAGGTTCTAACGTAATTTGAGTAATTTCTATAACCCGTTTAGATATAAACGATCGTGGTTAATTGATTTTTTTTGGTCAATTGACAGGGGGGAGTGGGGATACGAATCTTCGAGCGCGGAATCCACGATATTACGTTGTCATCTCCGGCGAAAGATTCCATCGACGTACGGAAGATGAACAAAAGGAGCCAGCGACGTGTACTGTTCCCAGGTAATCAAATACTGTCCTATCAGGGCGTTTTCATTTTTCAAGACGGAAAAGCGATTCCGCAGGGGAATTGTGCCCAGAGATGTCGGAGGTAATCTCTCGAATTGGTACGATCTTTAGGGATTCGATGAAAGCGTATTGGCGCAATTATCGTCACCGTGACGTAGCTATTCTGCAGACGTAGCTACCGCTACATCCTTCTCTTTCGAATCCTATCCTTCCACGTAATCATGCCTCGGCACAAAAACCGGGCACGGATCCTTGTTCAAAGATCTCTTCCAATCAAGTTTCGCGTTAAAATCTTTTCAATGAGACGTCTCAAATGAAATATCGTTGTTTGAATTCATTTACACGGAGTTCATATATTTTTTCATGAAATTTTCTCACGAATAAGTAAGATACTTAATCAATGATTATGGATTGTCCTTTAAGAAAACATACAGACAGCAGTACATATTTTTATTGTAAAATAATTTCTTTTACAATTTTTTATGTATCTGGGGTAAACCCGTATAACCATCCCTTGTTGTCTGAGCTTACTGCTTATAATCTATCATACCTTTTGTATCACATTTGTTCGAATAATATTGCATTTTCAATATTATACCTGACTTGTTCACATTCCATCACATTTTATACACAGACATGATAAAGCATATACTTACAAGAACTTGAATCATAAAATACTATTACAATACTTGTGGATAGATAATATTTATTTACAATTGATGACACTGGAAAGTTTAATTATTATATTACTCGTCTCAACATGTTGAACACGAATTAAATAGAGTGCAAACTTAAACCGATCCGATTTTCATTATTAAATAACTGGAGAAGGAACGTTAAATGAAATAAGACACACAATTTGAAGTTAGATAATTAGTAACTGTAAAGTATGGATTCTCGGGTACGTGTGAAAAGCTCGAGTCCCGGGGACGCGGCAAGCTTGGAGAGAGTGTATCGTGTTACGTATACCGTGGCACTTTCCGAAATAATCGTCACCGTCTATTACCGCAGAGCTGTTCGGGCGCAAATTCCCACGTAGAGATTCGTGCTGACGCGTCGAATGCAACGCGCGTTCGTTAAGTTCTACATTACGTGAGAAAATCGTGGAGAGGGAGGGAGAGGAGATCGTACGCAGAGAAATTAGATAGCGGCAGTAATAAGAAAAGTAAGTAGGGGAACTCGTTAGCCTCAACCCTGACAAGAACCTACTACCTCACTGTTCTGTCACGATTTTAATTAAGACATTTACTAACAGAAATTCGTCTAGTCGTTTTTAATTGCATGCGTAGCCGGGCACGCGTTCTATTTTCACGCTCGGCCAAAATTATATTGAAAAACAAAATTAAATTGGCGAACGGGCGGTAAAAAGAGTAACGAGCCAAAATTGTCGACGAGAATTTATAATGAGCATGTAGATACTTATTTGTATGTATAGACAAGCAACGCCGTGGTTCATTCTCGTATTTTTATTCTCAAACGTGTTCGTACTCCAGTTTCAAAGATTTTTCATTTCACCGGTCTGTTTCGTGGAAACTTTCTGAGCAACTTGATCAACGTTGAATTTGGATTTCGTTTTGTTCCCAGGTTCGCATCGAGATGTCTGTGCTTCGCATTCTCTATCGATCAGTCCGTCAGAGTTTTTCTTCGGAATTCTTCTTTTTTACATTATTAAACCATGCGCTCGTGTTTGGCCAAATTATCGGAGAAATGTTTGCGGATTTAACTGTTCAACGGTCGAGTTGCTTTACGTACTGAACATTTTCTGTTCAGTTTTCATCAAAATAGTTTTGTTTGGATTATATTTAAAATCCTGCTAATAACAAAATTTAAGCTTATGTTTCCGAGTTTATTTCACAATTCATGCAACGACGGAGAAAATGCATAACGTAGTTTATAACATCCGTATGGTCCACTTGTAATCAGCGTTGCATAGAGAGCTTCTCTTCATAAATTTACTCTCATTTTTTCGAGCTTAACGTTAAATCATGGCTGGTCGCCTCTTCCGGTACAAAGAAATTTTACGCATACGACTTAGTAATCTTCGGTTTCTCGGCTTCAGCTTGCAGAACTAGGACGTCCGATATTAAATTCTTGTTGCCGGGGCAAGAAGTTCGATGTCATCTTTGCCGGAAGGGTCGCTTCTTCGCGAACACGCATCTCAAATATTGATGCGATCTCTTTGAGTTTTGTATCCTTTGCGCTAACGAATTGAAAGAACTATTCTTCATTCACTTCGCATTTTATCATGTTTTTTTTCTACTGTTTTTTTGTTTCTTCCTCCTTTTCTACAGTCTGTTCGTGATGAATAAACGAACGAGCTTTTAGTCGAGGATGAGAGAAAGAGAGAGCTGACGTTAAGTTAAATCTTTTTGTTGCAAACTTCGTCGAGATGAGAGCGCACGAACGGGTAAGAGAGGGAGGAACTTGTTAGCCGACTGATTCGAATGGACAAAAGCCTGCACAATCTGGCAAATAGGTGCCAGCCAAAAGGGAACAACCTTCGGGCCCTTCATTGTCCGGTGTACCCTTAGTCATTGTCACTATGAGTTTCCATGGAATCGAACACACTGCGATCGACCGTAAAAAGAAAACCCCTTTCTGTCTCTATCTATTTTCCTGCATTTATACTGCCATTTTCGTGGATTACACAGTTACTTTTCGATTACTTTAGTGAACGAATAAATGGCCTGCATTTGTCAACATTCGTCAACATTCGTCTTGCTTTTTACGCATTACCTGGATGTGTTTTAGGATATTTAAAAATTAATACTTGATAGCATCGAGGAGAGATTACTAAAAACTGGCAGCCTTATGAGAAAATTGCGTTCGACCTTATTTGTAATTGACAACTAGAGCTACAACTTTTGTGTGAAACATTTCTCGCTAGCATTAATAGTTAACGAATAATTTGCAATAAACTGTTTTTCCTTTTTTTTTTTACAAAATATTCGTAAATTATTGACTAACGAAAAATGTTTCAGA